TCCCCTCCCCTTCCTCTCCTCCTCGTCGCCACCAGAGGAGCCGCTGATGCATCGTGCGGTTGCCGAGGAAGGTGGCGGCGAGGCCTTCGTCATCCCTTCGCGGAGATCCGGATCCACGAGGCGCCGGCCCCTGCTGGTTCGGCGCAGCCATTCGCGCCCTGGACGGTGTGCGCGGGGACTCTGCCTGGCGTCCTCGACCGCTCGGGTGGTGGGGAATCGGCGCTTGGCGGCGACAGTTCGGGGGCCTTCGTCCTCGCCAGATCTGGAGGCCTGCTGCTCCCTTGTTCCCGCTCCTTCCCCTTTGCACTTGATGCCGGTGGATGCTGCTGGTTCCGGTGCTTCTGGGGATGGTGGTGCAGATTGGGACAAACCCTAGGCTGACTGGTTCGGCTCGACAGCGGCGTCGGCTTCGGGCGATGCATCCTTCTTGAAGGCGGTGTCGTGGTCCTTATTCTTGTCACCTCCGGTCCTCTCCCGGGTGAAAACCCAAAATCCGGCCTGGATTGGGCAGCGGTGGCGCCATGGGCGTCATCCCCTCCTTGGAGGCGTTGCCTGGGGAGCTAGGACTCGGGTGTGGGCTCATGAAGGTGGGGGCTTTGGCCGCCGGCTGGATCTCTGCAGCTGCTCGCGGCGGCTTTCATGTTGTGCAGGGTGCCCCTTGTATCTTTAGGGCGTTTCCTGTTTTTGGTGTTCGCGTCGGAGGAGCGGCGTGGCATCTGGCACGTCGACGACGGCGAGTCTCAGCGGCATGGAGCAGTAGGGGTATCGCCGGTGGGCGTGTGATGATGGACGAGCGCAGGATGGTGGCGCTGTCTGGCGTCGTGGTGGCGTCGATGGCAGAGTGACCTGGCATTCATGCAACAGTACAACTCTGAAGATGGATTGATGGTACGTGGCTGCGGCGGCCTCATACCCGGCAGAGGTCCTGGTTGAAGAGCACGCCGGACTGGTGGGTGCCCATACCCGGCAGGCGTTCTGGTTGGGACCTCAGGTCTTAGATGTTAGGTTTGGCTGCGAGGTCTGTTTGGTATTAGGCCCAGACCATCAACGCCCCTTCATCACAAAAATGGACTCTGCCCTTGGTCTGCAGAAATAAAGCAAGGCAATCACAAAATTGCACTAGTTTGTACTCCCTCCGTCCGGAAATACTCGTCGGAGAAATGGATGTATCTAGATGTATTTTAGTTTTAGATGCATCCATTTTTATGTATTTCTTCGACAAGTATTTCCGGACGGAGGGAGTAGCATAGTACAGTGCCACATTCTACAAGGAACAGAAATGCTCAGCCATTGCTATATGTCTCCAGATATCCTCTTGTTTCTATCGATGATGTGAAAATGAATGCAAATATTTTTCGCTCCTCACATCAATCCTACACGACCGTGAGTACGTATGTTCCAGATCACATATGTACGATGGTTTCCCTCCCAAATTATTTTCAAAAGAATCAGTAGGGACATGAGGGCACCGCACATAATAACATGAGGCACAAGTTGACCAAACATGCTGCATGAACCAGTAGGGACAGCAAGCTCACTCCACGCAGAAGAAAACATGATTCACAAACTGTGGATGCAAGCTAGGATCCCAACAGAAAAACGGCATCACAGAACATGATTATTACTAAAACACATAGTAGTAGCACGTCCAAAATCCCAATTTTGTCATTCGATTCGATCGTCCACGAATAAGATGCAGCTACGACACCGCACCAGTACCATATAGATTGATCGTCCCACAGATAAGATGCAGTTCAACACTACATTGATTACCCCTAACTGATGAAGCTAAGATAAATTGCCACCGGCCGTGCACAAATTAATTGACAGGTAGTAGCAGTAGCATAGCAGCAGAGTAATCTGACTGAACCAACTGAACTGAAATCATAAGGTTGCATGAAGGAAACGAATGACAGGAGGAGCATCGCCTCGATCTATCAGGTGAAGTAGTAAGCTATCTAATCTGTTGATGGATCAGGTGAAGTAAAACTGGTGTCAAACAAAGTAGTGGGCTGGCTAATCTGCAGTGAGATGAACATGATGAATAATCGGACAGTCAGATTGATGTTCATGCCGGTAGAATTAACACAAAAGAGAGGTTAGGACTTTGGACCTCAACTCCAAGGTAGGCTGCAGTTTCCATCTTCGGTAGAGTGTTTCAGAACAAGGGATATGCATGAGGACACCGGCCTGAGAATGAACAAGGGGCAGCACGCAAACTGTGCCTGATTAATGTTCCAGTCCCAGATAACAAGCATGTAGGAAGATAACCATCACAAACACACTAGAATACTGTTTCCCCATGCAGAAGAAACTGATTCGCAAACTGGGGATGCACTTCACTAGTTTAGATTGCTATCCTATGATCGGAACAAAAAAGTGGCATCAGAAAACATGATTAAAACACACAGTAGCACGTTTGAAATCCAACTTTGTCAAGTTCAATTTGATTTGATTGTTCACGAATAAGATGCAGCTGATACAAATGTAAATTTCTTGCGCATGTACACAGACCGTAAGTGTACATGAGGAGAAGATTACATACAAAGCAATACGAGGAGAAGATTACTAAACATGCTGGATAAGGGACAGCATAATGTGCCTGATGCATCCTCCCAAACAACCAGCATATGTAGGACCGATTATCACAATTCGCAACCATACCGGATATATATAACTCCTATGCCATGCAGAACAAGATTAACGAATGAACATTTCAAAGAAAATATTAACAAATGAGGATGCACAAATCATTAATCCAGATTACTATCCTATTATCAAAGGAAATGCCATCCCAGAAAAATGACTGAACACATGCCCTGAAACACCAATTTTCACATGCCTTGAAACTGCAGCTCGATTGGGCTGTCCCACAAATAAGATGCATATCAACATTACACCTAAGGAAGCTAATTAAGATAGCCACGGTTCTTCCCAATTTAAACACAGATATTTGCAGCAGAATAAACTGGCCGAACTGAACTGATATCAAAAGGTTGGATGAACTAGAGAGCATCGATGAACAAAGAGACTTAACAGAGTGATTCAAAATACAATAAGTAGGGACATCCGGATATCTCACGCCGTAGATCGGATAACCTCTCGCGGCGCTCCCGTGGGCGCCCCGAGGGGAACCCATCCCGGCCGCCGCCTCTCTCCTCCCTCATCTGCCCACCTCCCTCGCCGCCGCCCGGTGGCGCCGCCGGGCGAAGCCAGGCCGGCCGGGGCGGCGGCGGGGCCTTCCTTTCCCCTCCGCCCATGGTCATGGCCGGCGCGGGACGGCTTCCCGAGCGGGGGCGCTAGCCTATGGCGGGGGCTAGCGGCGCGGCGGCGCTCCGTCGGGTGGCCTGCCTTGGCGGCGACCTGGTGGGCGGCCGCGGCGCGGCGGCTGCGGAGGGTCAGATCGGGCGGTGGCGGGCCGGCACGCCTCCGGCTAGATCCGCGCGGATTTGGTCCCTGGCGGTAGCGGGCGTCGCGGGGTGGCGGCGCAGGTCCTCGTGGGCTCTGCATAGAGGTGGATTGCAGCGGTGGCTGCAACCACGTGGTCGGCCGGTCTGCGCGCAGCGGCGGCGGGACTGCTCCGGCGCCTGCTCGTCGGCGGCTTTCTCGGACGGCGACCCGTGTACGAGAGATGGAGGTCTTCGATCAGATCTGGGTGAAAACCTGCTATTGGCTATTGCCTAGGCCGGCGATGGCGACGCTGTCTGCATCGTTCCCTTCCTGAAGGCATCGTCGTGGAGATTCAAGGCCACTCTCTGCTACCTCCGGGGGAAACCCTAGATCAGTAGATCGAATGACGACGGCTCTCTGGTGTCGTTTCCCCCCTGGGGGCGTCATTCTTGGAGGTGCACACGGCTCGAGGGACTAGAGGACGGCGACTTTGGTGGAGCGGTGCTTCATCTTTCACATTGATGGTGGCGGATCTCGGCGGCATGGTGCTGTGGAGACTCGGCGTCTGATGCGCGGAGATGGACTCGTGCAGGAGGAGGAAGCTGTTTGGCGTCATGGTGACGTCGATGGCAGAGTGGCTAGACAAGGTAGAAGCCTCAATATGATCTGAAGACGGACCTGTGGAAGATGGCGGCGACGACACACGAGTGCGTCTGACCGGATTGTGCCCCAGACCCGGTATGTGGCTCGGCTGGGGCTTTCGAATGAGTTTCGGCTTCCGGCTTTTGATGTTAGGCTTAGGTGAGTGGTTTGGGTAGTGGCCCAGCTAGCACCCCCTAATCATTTTGGATAGGAGTAGCGGCATATGTTGCCAAGATGGTGGATACAGACACATTGTTGTAACACTTTGTACGGTCCTCGAGAATAATCAATAAAGTGGCCGTATGCATCTCCCAGATGCAGAGGCCGAGGGTCATCCTCCTTTTCTAAAAAAAAATCCGGATACCACACATAATAACACAAGGCAGAATAGGCCGGGGTTTTTACCTGAACCTCATTGTAAAGGATAAAAAGAACACAAGGCAGACAGTCTGAATTAACAGGGAAATCAAGCAAAATTGTGCTTGATCAATGCTTCCAGTTCCCAGATAACCAACATGTAGGATGATTAACAAAGATGTTGGTGACTATATGTGGATCATCACAAACGGGTGATGCACTCCTTTAAGAGATCTTGCTAGGAGTCTAAGACCGGAACGAGAAAGTGGCATCACAACTTTGTCATGATTAAAGCACGTCCGAAATCGCAATTTTGTCGTGCAATTCGATTCGATTATCCATGAACAAGAAGCAGCTATGATATTGAAGCTAATTAATTAAGATAGCTCCTGCAATTCGATTCGATCCAGTTCAATGTTACACTACTAGGAGTGCTATGTTTATTACCCCTAATAGATCAAGAAAATATAGATTGCCACGGCCGTCCAGGAATTAGTTAAACACAGATAGCAGCAAATTAATCTGACCAAACTGAACTGAAACCACAAGTCTGCATAATGATTGAAGATGATAGACGAATGAGTGATAGGAGGAGCATGGCTTCAAAGGGATCAGTCCCATGTCGACAGCCTCCATGGATCAGGTGAAGTAGTGCCAGTGGGCTGGCTAATCTGCAGTGAGATGAATCGGACTGTCAGATTGATGCTCGTGCCGCCGGCCGGTACACACACCTAGGGAGAAACAAGACAAGAGGAGGAAGGTAGCGGACCTCAACTCCTAGGTAGGCGGCACGGTCGGTCAACTCGGCGAGGCGGGCGAGCTCCTTGGGGCCGAGGAAGCGGGAGAGGACGGCGACGGCGAGGTCGATGTGCTTGATGGCGAGGGCCGTGATCCTGTTTGCGCGGCACAGGTAGTCGAGCGCCTTGTCCACGTCGGCGGCGCTGGCTACGTGACGGGGCTTGGCGGTGGCGTCGGACAGATCGGCCTTGGCGAGGCTCTCGGTGGCGGCGGCGACCGGGTCGCGGCGCTTGCCGGGGATGGGGGCCTGGCCGCCGACGAGGCACTCGACGCAGCGCGGGAGGTGGTGCTCCTCGAGCATCTTGAGGGCCAGGATGGCGGACTCGACGCGGGCGATGGCCTGGGCCTGGGTGGTGGGGCGGGCGGGGAGCTTCTGCGCGAGGAGCGCGTCGTAGAGCTGCTCGTCGGGCATGCGCGCCAAGGCGATGTTGACGGTGGAGACGGCGCGGTTCTTGACGGCGGTGTCGAGGCAGACCCAGAGCATCTTGGAGCCGGGATCCAGTCCGAGGTAGTAGACCGTGAAGACGTCCGAGGCGATCTGCCCGAGCTTGGCCTCGGCGTCGGCGGGGGCGGCCTCGGCCTGGTGGCGCTCCAGGCGGCGGTGGAGCTCCAGGAGGCGGTCGCGCTGCGTGCGCACGTTCTTGGCGGCCATCATGGCCTGCATTAGGACCAGCTCCAGGTTCTTCTTGCTCAACTCCCGCGCCATGGCCGCCGCTCCCGCTCCGCTTGTCTCTCTCTCTCTCTAGCTGCGAGGACTTCTTGGGGAGGAGAGAAAGGTTGGAGGAGGCAGGTGAAAAGAGAGAGAGAGGAGCAGCGAGAGCCAGGCGGCTGCAGGATGATGGGCCCACCAGCCAGAACCGGCCGGGCGTAGCGTGCTCCCTCCGCTACCACAAAAAGACGACCCTTCTCGCTCTAGTTTTGAATTTCGAAATCTCAACACGCTATCCATCAATAGAATCAACGTACGAAAACAAGTGATTCCAAGCAAGCTGTAATTAATGTTGTTGTGAGGATACATTCTTTTTTTTTTCACCCGCAAAAAAAAAGAGAGGATGCATTCTTTTCATATAATTCATCATCTCCACTCTTCATGTCATAGGGGCTGTTTTGTTTTACGCCCAACTAGCCCCACCAAAATTTCGGTATGACCAAAGGAGAGGCATACCATGTGACTCTCGTCGTAAGTAATCCAAACTTGATGATGAAAACAAAAGGAGCAAGGGCATAACCTATTCTTTTTGCAATTCATTGTTGTTTGGTTTGTAGCCATTGTACCATCCAAAAGTTTGTCAAAACAACTCTTTTGTTTGGTTATGCACTTGATGATTAAACACACGTTTTGTTATTGATTCATATAGATCAAAATTAAGATGCAGTTTCCTATAAAATTCTAAGAGCATCTACAGTCGGGTGCCCTATATCTGTCTCATACGCCCGGGCAGGCCATCCGGTCACAAAATACCAACCCAACCGAAGCTCTCAACGGGCGCCCGGGCTGGCAGGCACCCCTCATATCAGTCCCAAATGTAAGGCGGATATGAGGTGGCCCGGCCGGCACGCCCGGGCGCGTCCGCCTGACAAGCCCGACCCACCATCGATCCCACAGATGTCCCAAAAAAAAACCATCAGGCTCATCGCTCCAAAACCCTCACTCACTCACTCTCCTCTCTCGCTCCGTCCTCTCCTCTCCCCGCACCAAGTCCGATCGAATCCGACACAATGTCGAGCTCCGGCAGCCGCTCCGGCGATGAGCTGGATTTGGAGTATGAGCTTGCCCTTTGCATCGCCTTAGAGCGGTCCAAGGTGGAGACCGTGTTGGGGAACGTAGCATACAATTTCAAAAAAAATCCTACGCTCACGCAAGATCTATCTAGGAGATGCATAGCAACGAGAGGGGGAGAGTGTGTCCATGTACTCTCGTAGACCGAAAGCGGAAGCGTTTGACAACGCAGTTGATGTAGTCGAACTTCTTCTCGTTCTGACTGATCAAGCACCGAACGTACGGCACCTCCCAGTTCTGCACATGTTCAACTCGATGACGTCCCTCGAACTCTTGATCCAGCAAAGTGTCGAGGGAGAGTTCCGTCAGCACGATTGCGTGGTGACGGTGACGGTGAAGTGATCTGCGCAGGGCTTCGCCTAAGCACTACGTGAATATGACCGAAGGCGTAAACTGTGGAGGGGGCGTCGCACACGGCTAGGAATCAATGTTGTGTGTTCTAGCGGTGCCCCCCATATATATAGGTGGGAGAGGGAGAGGGGCAGCAAGGGGCGCCCCAAGTAGGAGTAATCCTACTTGGGCACCTCCCACAAGTTGGCCTTCCCCCTTCCATAAGTGTCGGAGGGGGATGGAAAGAGAGGGGGAGAGAAGGAAAGGGGGAGGCCGAATCCTCCCCTTTCCTTTCTCCCTTCCCCTCCTTCCTTCTCCTCCTATTCGGACTATATGGGGGCGCGCTAGCCCACTAGGAGCTGGTCAGTCCCGCCCTTGGCCCAATAAGGCCCATATCTTTGCCGGGGGGGAGGGGTGCCCGGAACCCCTACCGATGACCCGATACGTACCCGGTACCCCCGGAACACTTCTGGTGTCCGAATACTATCGTCCTATATATGAATATTTACCTCTCCACCATTTCGAGACTCCTCATCATGTCTGTGATCTCATCCAGGACTCCAAACAACATTCAGTCACCAAATCACATAACTCATATAATACAAAATTGTCATCGAACGTTAAGCGTGCGGATCCTACGGGTTCGAGAACTATGTAGACATGACTGAGACACTTCTCCAGTCAATAACCAACAGCGGAACCTAGATGCTCATATTGGTTCCCACATATTCTACGAAGATCTTTATCGGTCGTACCGTAATGACAACATACGTTATTCCCTTTTGTCATCGGTATGTTACTTGCCCGACATTCGATCGTCGGTATCTTCATACCTAGTTCAATATCGTTACCGACAAGTCTCTTTACTCGTTCCGTAATGCATCATCCCGTAACTAACTCATTAGTCACATTGCTTGCAAGGCCTATTATGATGTGCATTACCGAGAGGGCCCAAAGATACCTCTCTGATACTCGGAGTGACAAATCCTAATCTCGATCTATGCCAACCCAACAAACACCTTCAGAGATACTTGTAGAGCATCTTTATAATCATTTTTTCAAATAAACTTCTCTTTTGTGTGTTTGTTTCGCTCGCGAAGCGATGAGGGGTGGCTAATATTTTCCATGTTAGATGTGTTATTCTCACGATGAGTGTTTATTCACTTGTCATTGCACAAGAGTAAGGCAAAGGTATTAGGGATGCCAGTCCCAAAATGAAAAAATGAATTTGCTTTATGTTGTCAAATAATAAATTTCTTGGAAAGTGTTGGTATGGAGGGCAACCGTGGATACGGCTAGCCATGGAAAGTGAAAGTATGGTTGAAAAAGGAATAACCTTTATTTTCTGTTTGGGAACCGCCTATGATATATCTAGCATGGAAAGTATTGGGAACTCTAAGTCGTTTTTGTTGGTGGGATGGATGCACCTCCCAAAATGTTTTTATCTCTAAGTTTTTCGCTTTGAACTCTGGCACCTCTACAAATCCCTACTTCCCTCCGCAAAGGGCCTTTCTTTTACTTTATGCAATTTTTACTTTTGAATGTGAGTCTCCGTGTTCTCTTATAAAAGCACCAACTAGGAGGCAATATGATTGTACTTAAGTATCAGGTATAACTAATATGTGAGTGTGTTTCATGAATGGATCAATGGTTGAGCATGATGGGCTAGGGATAACTTATTTTAGCGTTGATATTTTGAAAGACTTGGTTGCTTGTTGATATGCTTGAGTATTTAAATTATCATGTCAAAACTAGACTATTGCTTTGAACAATATAAAAGTCCAAATGTCCATGCTATAAAGAAAGAAATATGATATGACATGATAGGCGGCATTCCACATCAAAAATTCTGTTTTTATCACTTCCCTACTCGAGGACGAGTAGGAGTTAAGCTTGGGGATGTTGATACGTCTCCAACGTATCTATAATTTTTGCTTGTTCCATGCTGTTACATTATCAATCTTGGACGTTTTACAATCATTTTATAGTCATTTCATATCATTTTTGGTACTAACCTATTGGCATAGTGCCAAGTGTCGGTTGCTATTTTCTGCATGTTTTTTACATCGCAGGAAATCAATATCAAACGGAGTCCAAATGTCCCGAAACTTCATGGAGAATTTTTATGGACCAGAAGGAACGTAATGGGCACTAGCTACGCCTGGGGGGTGCCCCGAGGGAGGACAACCCACTAGGGCGCGCCAGGAGGCCTAGGCGCGCCCTGGTGGGTTGTGCCCACCTCGGGTGCCCCCCAGATCGCCTCTTTGCTCTATAAATACCCTAATATTTCCAGAACCCTAGGGGAGTCGACGAAATATTCATCCAGCCGCCGCAGAGTCCAGAACTACCAGATCCAATCTAGACACCATCTCGGATGGGGTTCACCACCTCCATTGGTGCCTCTCCGGTGATGTGTGAGTAGTTCTTTGTAGACCTTTGGGTCTGTAGTTAGTAGCTAGATGGCTTTCTCTCTCTCTCTCTCTCTCTCTCTCTCTCTCTCTCTCTCTCTCTCTTTCCCTGAAATCTCAGTACAATGGTCTCTTGGAGATCCATATGATGTAACTCTTTTGCGGTGTGTTTGTTGGGATTGATGAACTTTGAGTTTATGATCAGATCTAGCTTTTTTATATCCATGAAAGTATTTGAGTTTCTTTGATCTCTTTTATGCATGATTGCTTATAGCCTCGTATTTCTTCTCCGATATTTGGGTTTTGTTTGGCCAACTTGATCTATTTATCTTGCAATGGGAAGAGGTGCTTTGTAGTGGGTTCGATTTTACGGTGCTTGATCCCAGTGTCAGAAAGGGAACCGACACGTATGTATCGTTGCTACTAAGGATAAAACGATGAGATCTATATCTACACAATAGATAAACGGATCACATCATGTCATCGTTCTTATTGCATTACTCCGTTTTTCCATGAACTTAATACACTAGATGCATGCTGGATAGCGGTCGATGTGTGGAGTAATAGTAGTAGATGTAGGCAGGAGTCGGTCTACTAATCTTGGACGGGATGCCTATATAATGATCATTGCCTGGATATTGTCATGAGTATTTGAAGTTTTGTCAATTGCCCAACAGTAATTTGTTCACCCACCGTTTGCTATTTTTCTCGAGAGAAGCCACTAGTGAAACCTACGGCCCCTGGGTCTCTTTCTCATATATTTGCCTTTGCAATCTACTTTTTCCTTGCATTTATTTTTAGATCTATTAAATCAAAAATACAAAAATACCTTGCTAAAATTTATTCTTATTTATTTTATTTGGCGTTCGATCTATCAAATTACTACAAATTCCTCACGTCCGTTTTGCCTATCTTGAGGCGCCGTACCCCGAAAGGGATTGACAACCCCTTTAACACGTCGGGTTGCGAGAAGTTGTTATTTGTGTGCAGGTGTTGTTTACGTTGTGTTGCTTGGTTCTCCTACTGGTTCGATAACCTTGGTTTCATATCTTAGGGAAATACCTACCGCCGATGTGTTGCATCATCCCTTCCTCTTTGGGGAAATACCGACGTAGCTTCAGGCGACATCAATTACCTCATAGCGCTCCTTCATCAAGTTGACCAAGCCGGCTTCAAAATCGCGGCTGG